CCACCATGGTGGCTGTCCCTGCGATCCTGCACCTTCTGGGCCAGGAGGCGGATCTTGCGCAGCCACTCCTGGGCGCTGATGGCCTGCAGGCACTACTTCAGCTCAGCCTGCAGGCTCTGCTTGGCGTGCTCACAGCTGTCACCACTGCCATGTGGGGAGTACAGGCCGCCCTCTGCCAGCCTGCCTCCCCTGTCCAGAGGCTCTCCGAGCTGCTCACCTGCCCAGAGTGACTGGGGCTGGGCGGAAGCCAGGCGTCCTGCCCTGCCCAACCCCGGCCGATCCACCCCTATGCGAGCTGCTGCCCCACCGTGAAGGGTCATGGATCGGGTCCCGGGACCGACGACAGCCTCAAGCACTGCCCCCGCCCAGCAAGGTCACAGATCCGTGTCTTGGTCCCTGGACAGCCTCAAGCACTGCCGCCCTCCTGGCAGAGTCACAGATCTGGGTCCCGGGACAGCGGACAGCCTCAAGCACTGCCCCCCACCTGGCAGGGTCACAGATCCGGGTCCTGGGACCGCGGACAGCCTCAAGCACTGCCCCCAGCCCGGCAGAGTCACAGATCCAGGTCCTGGGACAGCGGACAGCCTCAATCGCTGCCCCCCGCCCAGCAGGGTCACAGATCTGGGTCCCGGACTGTAGACAGCCTCCCGCGGTGCCCCCCTCCTGGCAGGGTCACAGATCCGGGTCCTGGGACCGTGCAGATCAGGGGGTTGGGGCGCCTTCCCCTGTCACGAACAGAGCAGGGCGGATAGGGAGGTTGTGGCCCCACCCCCTGTCACACACAGAGCTGCAGGGCGATCACGGGGTTTGGGCGCTGCCCCCTGTCACGCTGCTCCAGGGGCCAGGAGGCCTCGCAGCTCCACTGATCCCAGTGCTGGGAGGCCTCGCTGCTCTGCTTGACACCGGGGCAGTGAGGCCTCGCTGCTCCGCTAATCCCGGTGCTGGGAGGCCTCGCTGCTCCACTTATCCCGGTGCCAGGAAGCCTGGCGGCTCAGCTGATCCCGGTGCTGGGAGGCATATTACCCTTTTACTATATAGGATAGAGGCCTGGTGCACGGGTGGGGGCCAGCTGGTTTGCCCTGAAGGGTGTACCGGATCAGGGTGGGGGTCCCGCTTGGGTGCCTGGCCAGCCTGGATGAGAGGATGATGGCTGTTTGCAGCTGGTCACACTCCCTTCAGGGTGGGGGTTCCCACTGGGGTGCCTGGCCAGTCTGGGTGAGGGGCTGAGGGCCGTTTTCAGGCTGGCGGGTGACTGAAGCTCCCAACCTCTCCTTTTTTTCTTTTTCTTTTTTATTCTGGGATTTATTTACCTTCTATGGCTGTCACTGGAGCTGAGAGCCAGCTTTAGCTCTGAGGCTTGGCTCCAGCTCTGAGACCTCGGCTGCTGAAAGCAGGTATCTGGGCTTTGTTTAGCTTCTATAATTGAAACACTGTTGCAACTCCAGCTCTGAGGCCTGGCTGGCTGAAAGCAGGTTTCTGGGGATTGTTTAGCTTCTATAATTGCAACATTGTTGCTTAGAGTGCAGCTCAGAGCTGGGCGGTGGCAGGCGGGGAACCTCATCTTCCTCCATCACTGGAGCAAGCAAGCCTCCTGTTCGCTTCAGCTGCCTGGCTTCTGGCCGCCATCTTGGTTGGCAGTTCATTTGCATATCACCCTGATTAGCCCATGGGAAGCTTGTCGGAGGTACGGTTAATTACCATGTTTGTCTATTATTAGATAGGATTATTGCTGGCTTGTCCTATGCCCTGCACATATTGAGGGTATGTCTCCCCCTTGAGGGCTGCAGCTATAGCTACACCCTATATAAATGCTGGACTTACATCAGCACACTGTTTTATAAAATCATTTATAGTTCCCGTTCTGCAAATCGGCCTTAATAAAGCCTGACAGGTGTTATTAGCATTTTCAAAAGCCAGTTGTTTGATTAGGATATCGGCTGCCTCTTCATTAGTGATTACTCGCTTGACTGCCTGTATGAGGCGAGAAAGGAAATCCTGATACGGTTCCTCGACCTTCTGTTTAACCTCTGTAAGGGTGGTTGTTTTTCCTACTGTACAAGGTAGGGCTTTCCAGGCATTTACTGCACAACTGTTTACTTTAATAAGTGCTTCTTTGGGCATATACATTTGCTCCTGAGCCGTGATAAAATCACCTTCTACTAATATCATGTCTAGGGTTATTCCTCCTCTGGAATTTTTGCTAGTGGCTACAGCTCTCTTAGCAAGATCATCATATTCAGTTTTTCATAATAAGTAATTGCCTCCTGAGAGACAGGCTTTACAAACCTGTGACCAATCATAAGGAGTCATCCATTTACTGGCTAGGGATTCTACCAAGGTTTGTGTGTAAGGAGCTAGAGGTCCATATTCACAGCAGGCCAATTTTAATTCTTTAAGTATTTTGTAAGGTATAGGCTCCCATGTGGGGTTTTCATCCCCCTCACTCTCATACACGAATGGGAAGCAGAGTGAGAATTCAATATCTCCACTAGCTTCAGGTTCTCTTATCGCCCTTTGAAATTTAGACATGGAGCTCATAGGAGCCGGAGAACCTGGTTTAGGCTTCTTTTCTGATTTAGGGAGCCTGTTTTGATTGGGAGGGCTTTTCTCCTCTCTACTGACTGGAAAGGACCAAGGGTCATGTTTATGATATTTATTCTCCTTCCGATCAGTAGGCATAGCTAAATTGCTCTTAGATTGAACTGGAGACAATAATGATGTGTCCTCTCTAGATGGAGCCAAGGGACTATTTAAAGTTTGAGAAAGTTCAACCTTTTCTGCCTCTGGTGCCAAGGTGTCACAAATTAAATTCCAGAGGGAAAGGGTATCTGCCGGGACCTTCTCAGATCCATGGAATCTGTAATAAGTCTTTAATTGCTCTCCTACTTCAGTCCAAGTTTCTAAATTAACAGTTCCTTCCTCAGGAAGCCATGGACATACTTCTTGTATAAAACGTTCTGTCTGACTCGGAGTAACCTTAACTCCTCTGCTAGCAAGCATATGTGTTAAAAGATCAATACACAGTCTTTATTCTTTAGACTCAGTATGGCCCAGCTTCTCAATCTAAGTTCTGTACTATCTACCCTCTTACCCTATTTATCCTCTATAGGGGCATCTGCAGCACCCTATGGTGCAGTCCTATCCATCCCGAGTGGGAGGGGGGGGCGGGGGGGCTTACCTAGGGGAATCCTGTTCAGGCGCCAGGTGTTGGGATCCAACACCAGCAGGTTCAGGGGTTCCCAAAGATGTGGACGGAGTTGACGAGGAAGGAAGGACACGGAGGCAGCAGGGTTCAGTTGATCAGCATAGCCAGGTTCTCCAGCCAGGTTCTAGCCAGGTTCTCTCTTTATTCTCCTGTTACATCTGTATTTATACCAGTTGATTTTAATCCTATCCATTCTATTCCAAAGGTTAGTGTGTTTGTTATCTCCATTCCAAGGTCACTACTCTATTGTTCTGTTAAGCTACAAGGAAGTAACTGAAGGAGATTATCCTAAGTAAAGATTATGTAGTTTAAGCGTGATTGTTCATAGTTAAAGTGATTAATTACCCACCTGGCACTTAGTTAAGGGGTTTTATTCCCTTCTTAGTCCTGTTAATCCCTAACTCCAGGGAAAAATCCCCACCTGGGGAAACAACCTTTCTCAGAGAGGTGACCTTGGTTAAAACACATAGCGCTAAGAAGGGTAGCACACATATTAAGAACATTATGCCATATATGCCAGGTCCCTTGAGACATATGCTGTGCAGATGTTTCTTCCTTGCAGCGACTGTGTCAAGCAGTAAGGATGGACCAGCTTCTGGCAGGAAGGTTGAGAACCACTGTCTTAAATTCACTAGCAAAAGGATCTATACTTACTTAAGATGTTTGTTCTTGTGTCTTATACATGCACCTATAGAAAACCTTGTGGACAGTGGTATGCACTTTTGTTTATAATGGTTTTCTGTAACTGGTTATAGGCTAAATTTTTGTTATTTGTTTACTTTATTGCTAGTGTAAAGGAAGCATAAGAGGAATGCCTCGACAGATAGACTGGGAAGATCAAAAACTCCTGTGGCATAGGCCTGCGATGTCAACCACAGTAGTGCTACCACCTGCTCAGTATGTGAGACTTCATGAAGTCTTAGAATTTTCAAGGCCCACAATGACACGCAGAATTTATATGTTCTAGTAGCCTGGTGCATGAAATTCATGCACATGGGTAGGGGGTAATGGGGATCCCTCAGTCTGGCCTGCATCCTCTCAAATCTGGGACCCCTCGGGGAATGTCTGACTGCCTGTTTGTTCCCCCACTTTTAACAGATGACAGCTCCATTGTGTGTCTTTCTTTTCATGCTTAAACCCATTGGAATTAGTAGGGACTCAAAGTGTGTATACATTTTGTGGTGACACTCTGTATATCTCTAGTCAGCCGTGAAAGGAACCAACTGTGGATTTGGAACCCCCAGACAGGGAACCTCGCTCACTCCCCGCATGTCTCCCCACTCCACTTTCCACTTTCACGGGCAGCGGGAGAATCAATGTTTTCTCTCATTAACTCAGAAAAGCATGTCCTGCCACCAGCTGCCCAGCAGGCATGTGCCAGGATCCACACGAGCAAGGCTCAGTCAGGGCAGCCTTTGCTCATGGGTGCTGGCACCCAAAGTGCACATTCCTCCTCTGCAGTCGCCCTGACTATGCCACCATTTCACTGAGAGGACGGAACTCCTCGCCTCATCTGGGTTCATGATCTTTAACGCTGACCAAAGGCACCTCAGTGAGGGCCGCCCACACCCACCAGGTGTGTCTGTCTGTACCTGCTCTTGCCTCAGCACCTGCATTATTAGTCCCACAGAGGTGATCTCGTTGCTGCACTGGCCTCTGCAGGAACAGGGCATTACCACTCCGCCCTCTCACTGTCATCTCAGAGACACTCACCCTCAGCACCCAGAACACCCAGACACTCTACAAAGGACATGAATGTGCTGGAGGGGGCCTGCACACGTCCTGTGGGACTTACCTGCCGGGAGCAGACCAGGTGGGGCAGAAGCCAGGCATCCCATGCTGCCACTGCCACTCTTTGCCTTCACACACTGCAGACTGGCATGGAGTGACAGGGGTGGGGCCGGGTGGGCAGGGACGCCTGTCCCCATCCGCTTGGCACCTGTACACGTGCACTCTGCCAACAGGCCCACCATCTTTGTTGTGTTACTTTGCATACTCATCCTGATTGGCTGGTGAGCGTAGCAGAGGGGACGGTCAATTTACATGCTTGTCTTTTATTAGTGTATATATTTCTAAGGTTATAGCAAGATCAAAGAGAGAATCTAAGAAAAGCCTCCAGGTTTGAAGCACTTACTATGCTAACTCTGTCATTTTCCTAACTGTCATTGTTTTTCTTCAGTTGTGCTAAACCTGGGGTATTGCAAATATAATGACTTCAGCCTTGCATCTTTAGTGTAATACTACACATAAGCAGCCTTTGATCACTGATACATCATTTCATAAGGCCTCTGGTTATTGAAGTCATAGTATCTCACAGTTAATATCTAAGGAATTGACGAATCACAGCCTGCCTCTAAATTACAGAAGAGAACGGGTTGTCTGATGTATGCACAAAGACACAAATTTAGGTCAAAGGAAACAGGAAGCAATCACTTCAGAAATAGTGCACTAGGACAGAGTCTGATAAGTGGTGTGTTATATTTGTGCCCTTTAGATGTCTCAGGCTTCAGATCAAGTCTCTTTCTGAACACACAGAGTCCAGATGGTGGAGGAGGGATGCAGCAGGAGAGAATCAGTCTGTGACACTGCAATTTGTCCATCTGGTAGAGAGCTCTCATGGCCACCACTTGTCAGGTGGCTTATTAGTTAGTACGTGGTCGAGTGATTTGGACCTACATCCAGGATGGGTCTGAGTCCCTGCTTCCTATGCTCCTATCTAACAGGGGTGATGCATTTGCCGTTGTCAGTAGGATCTCCTAAAATCGAGGTTGATGACCATTGACTAAGATGGTAATTCCTTGCTGATGCATGGGCCACTGTTGAAACTAGACTCTCTTCATAGGAGGGGAGAAATTCTGTCTCAGTTTTAGCAGCCAGCTGACCAGAGCATGTTAATTGTGGACCCAGTAAGATCTTCCCTCATTCCCCCCCACTTTTCAATATTGGTACATGTTCTCACTAATCTGTTTTGCATTTGGTGAGGACCTTTGGTTCCCCTCGGGCTGTTTAATTTCTACTACCATAACTTTGAGTGTGTGCGGTTTTGTCTTTGGTTATCATGCTCTCTCCAAAACAGTGAAAGATGATTTCAACCCAAGGGTGGGTGTAGTTGCCCATCTAAGATGTTTCTAAATAGCACTGACAACTCAGGTTGTAGGCCATAACTACTAAAAGGTGGCTGTGTTGTGCTAAGGCCTACCATGTGTATGCCTTAAAATGGTTTCTAATTGGTGCCAGATATTTGAGACAGATTCATTACAGCTGGATATTTCCCAGTTAACGCAAGGGCAGAAATGATAATGGTTAGCCTCAAATTTTTTAAATCCTATTTCTAGGGCTTTGCCATATCAAGAAAGGGCAAAGTTATAAGACAAAAGTAAGGGGGATGGGTGAATACAGCCCTTGTGGGCAAAGCTATAAATAAGTACATTTATCCATGCCACATGAAGCCTGCTTGTTTATGATATTCTCTTTCTGGTCATAACAGCAATTAGCACTACCACTAAATCAATGGCTGCATGTCATGCACTTGAGGGCACCTTAGTTTGCTCTAGCAATGACAGCACATCTGAGGCGGCAGCTACAATAAGAGATTCTACTGGGTAGAGCTTGATGTAATTTACAGTCATTCTTAGGATCAATGGGGTTTTTGTAGGGGCCAGATTGGTGATTTGAGTGGGACCTGATAGAGACAACCACGCTGCATGTTTTAGTCTTTTCTTTCCCCCGATACAATTTTAAATTTAATTTTACTCAAACTTCACAAAATCCAGACACACTTATAATTTCAACATGTGAATTTGGGAGGCACACGATCACGTAATCTACAACACACCCCAGTCAAGATACACAAGTTTTCCATCACTAGAAAGTTCTCTCCACTCCTCCATTCCCAAGTCAGGAAATTTTAAATTCTGTGATCAGAACTGGTTTTGGAGTGTTCTAGAACTTCATAAAAATTAAATCATATATTAAGTTGCTTTGGTCCTGTTTCTCTCTATCATCATCATCATCATCATCATCATCATCATCATATCTGTGAGACACATCCATGTTCTTACACGTATCAGGAGTCTTTTCTGATTTACTGAGGTATTCCATTGGACAAATATACCCTTTTGTTTATCCATTCGTCTATTGAGTACTGGTTGTTTGTTTCCATTTGGTAGGATAAATTCATGAATAATGCTGCTATGAATATTCATGTGCAAGTCTTAGTGGGCAATTAATTTCCTTGGCCACATAAACTAGGTGTGAGTTTCACTCTACAAGAAACTATCATTATACACCCTGGCTTTTCTATTCACGACATCTGTTTACACTTCCTTTCCATCACTCAGCCCAACTTCATTTAAATCCTATTTCTAGGGCTTTGCCAAATCAAGAAAGGGCAAAGTTATAAGACAATAGTTACAAGAACTTTTAAAAAGTGTGAGAGAATCTAATTCTCTCCTCAAAATTCTTATACAGAGAAGCTTCCACTCTCCTCACCATTCTCCATATTAATGTCATGTTGACCTATTATGTTCTAGGCTTGAGGAAAAAAGCCACCGAGTGTCTTAAAGTTGCCACAAAATCCACTGATCCTTTCCCTGAGTCTTCTCCAAGAGACCAGGGGACCTTTCAGCCCAGACTCCCTACATCACTGAGCAAAGCCTCCCCCAAAGAATGCACCATTGTTCTGTAATAGCTACCCCCTCCCCCGCCCAGTCTCTAGGGGTGCCAAACCTCCAGCCTCTCTCTGCTCTCCTCCTGCTGGAAAAGGTGCTACAGCAGCTTTACTCTGGCCTGCACTCTCTATGGTCACAGGTTCCCTCGCTCATGGCGCCTGCCTGGGCCAAGGCCCACCTGACGGGGGCTCTCTGGCTGCCTCTCCTCTGGCTACTCCTGTCTCAGGTCAGTTGTTCCCATGCCCTACCAGGATGGCGTTTCACTTCCTCTGAAATTGTGATCCCCAGGAAGGTGTCCCACAGGCTGGGCGGAGCTGGGGTACGAGGCCAGCTCTCCTACAGGATTCACTTCAGTGGCCGAAGACATGTGGTTCACATGAAGGTCAAGAAGAACTTGCTGCCCAGACATTTTCCGGTTATCACCTATAACGACCAAGGTGCCATGCAGGAGGACTACCCCTTTATCCCTCGAGACTGCTACTACTTCAGCTACTTGGAGGGGGTTCCTGGATCCATGGGCACGCTGGACACTTGCTATGGGGGTCTGCGTGGCATGCTGCAGGTGGATGACTCGACTTATGAAATCGAACCAATGGAGGCTTCTTCCAAGTTTGAGCATGTGATGTCTCTGCTTGTGAAAGAACAACCAAGAGAGGACGAAAGTTGTAAGATTGAAAAAGAAGATGCAGATCTAGCATATGAAGAGGCAACATTTGCTGAAACCCCTAGAGCAGCGCCCGTGTATTTATGGTGGCCCCGTAGAAGAAATTTAAAACTTCACTACACAGTTAGTAACTCATTATACAGGAGCAGGCCTAATAAGACAGATCTAATAGAGAGAGTGGTGATGCTTAACAGCATATTACACAGCATTTTTCATCAACATCTTCTGGTTGTCAACCTACGTGCTTTGTGCATCTGGGACGATACAGATCACACGGACGTAACAAGGTATAACTCTGCGTCTAAAGCTGTGGAACAGTTTGGTTTGTGGAAAACTTATAATGTGTTTCGTCTTATTAGACATGATACTTCAATACTTCTTACAGGACATAAAATCGGTGGTCAAAACCATTTTGGCTTCCCAGATGGAATATGCAACCCCAACTGGGGGGCAATGTTTGTATATGTAGCAAATGTTCATCTATTTTTAGGTGCCGGTATCGCAGCACATACACTGGGTCATATTTTTGCCATGGAACATGATGTAGCTGGTTGTAAATGTTTTCGAAGAACTTTCTGTGTCATGGCTCCTACACCAGGTCTTAACGATATGTTCAGCAATTGTTCTTATACGCGTATCCACTATCGATTACACTGCTATGATGAATGTTTGGCTTACACAATGGCACCATACAATAATTTTCCTTATGTAGCTCCTCGTTGTGGAGACAAGATCATAAATCAGCAGGAAGAATGTGACTGTGGCTCCTTGAAAGACTGTGCTGAAAACAAATGTTGTGAGACCAATTGTGCCCTCTCCCTTGGTAGTGAATGCAGTAGAGGAGAGTGCTGTGTTAACTGTAAGTATGCTAATCCTGGATGGATTTGTAGAGAGAAGGGTGGCATTTGCGATCTACCAGAATACTGTGATGGGAAAAAGGCTACTTGTCCAAATGACTTCTATATCCAGGATGGAACCCCGTGTTCACCTTTAGCTGTTTGTGTGAGAGGAAACTGTAGTGACCGTGACATGCAGTGTCAAGCTCTATTTGGCTACAAAGTGAGAGATGCTCCGCAAGTGTGCTATGATACACTGAATGTAAGGGGTGACCGATTTGGAAGCTGTGGGCAGGTCTTCAGCAAGGTGGGAGAAAGACATAAACCATGTGAAGAAGATGATGTTCTTTGTGGAACGTTGCACTGTCGTGATGTCCAACAAGTACCTGGTGGAGGTGAGCACACTACATTTCATCAGCTCTTAGCTAAGCAAGAAATATGCTTTGGATACGATACACACTTTGGGATAGACCTGCCACCACTTGGGTTAGTAATAGATGGTGCAACATGTGGGCCAGGAAGTTACTGTTTTAACCTGAATTGTACTTTTCATCAAGACATGGCCTTTGACTGTGATGTCCAGAAATGCAATTTCAGAGGAGTGTGCAACAATAATAAAAATTGTCACTGTCAGGTGGGGCGGAGGCCACCACTGTGTGAAAACAGCGGACCGGGTGGTAGTATAGACAGTGGCCCTCCACCTGACAAAGAACCATCTGCTCGTGGCAAAATAAGCATGAGTATAAACCAGACTCTAGTTATAGTGATGATTCGTTCAGCCCTTCTACTGTGTGCATTCATTGTTGGCTGCATTTCACACTTAAGTACAGATGAGGATGAAGAGAACTAAAAACTAAACTGGTACAGAAACAGAATCCCCACAACTTTACTAAATGCTAACTGGAACCTACACAATGGGTAAATCACATTGCACTTACTGGGAGAAATGCTCAACCCTCACTCTGATAATGACATCATCCTACAGCTATTCCAAGGTTGTCATCTTGAAATAAAGTGACTTGGAAATTTAAAAAGGTCCAATGTGTTTCAACTCATTTTAACACGTCAGATGTGGCCATATTGCTAATATTCCCGTAGATGACAGTAGGAACTCTTAGATCAGCGGTTCTCAACCTGTGGGTCACAACCACTTTGGGGGTCGAACGACCTTTTCACAGGGGTCGCCTAAGACCATCGGAAAACACATATAATTACATATTTTTTTTGTGATTAATCACTATGCTTTAATTATGTTCAATTTGTAACAGTGAAAATACATCCTGCATATCAGATATTTGCATTATGATTCATAACAATAGCAAAATTACAGTTATGAAGTAGCAACAAAAATAATTTTATGGTTGGGGGTCACCACAACATGAGGAACTGTATTAAAAGGTCCCAGCATTAGGAAGGTTGAGAACCACTGTCTTAGATTCACTAGCAAGAGGACCTGTACTTACTTAAGATGTTGGTCCTCGTGTCTAACACATGCACCGGTAGGAAACCTTGTGTACAGTAGTGTGCACTTTTGCTCATAATGGTTTTCTGTAACTGGTTATGGGCTAAATTTTTGTTATTTGTTTACTTTATTGCTAGTGTAAAGGAAGCATAAGAGGAATGCCTCGTCAGATAGACTGGGAAGATCAAAAACTTCCATGGCATAGGCCCATGATGTCAACAGTAGTGCTACCACGTGCTCAGTATGTGTGCCTTCATGAAGCCTTAGAATTTTATGCTTTCAAGGCCCACAATGACACGCAGAAATTATACCTGTTCTAGTAGCCCGGTGCACAAAAGGAGGCCCCTCAGTCATCCCTGCACCCTCTCCAATCCGGGACCCCTCGGGGAATTTCTGACTGACTGTTCCCCCACTTTTAACAGATGACAGCTCCATTGTGTGTCTTTCTTTTCATGCTTAAACCCATTGGAATTAGTAGGTAATCAAAGTGTGTATACATTTTGGGGGACACCCTGTATATCTCTAGTCAGCCGTGAATGGAACCACCAGACAGGGAACCTTGCTCATTCCCTGCATGTCTCCCCACTCCACTTTCCACCTTCACGGGCAGCGGGAGAATCAATGTTTTCTTTCATTAACTCGGAAAAGCACGTCCTCTCACCCACAGCCCGGCAGGAGTGCACTAGGACCCACGGGAGCGAGGCTCAGTCAGGGCAGCCTTTGCTCCTGGGTGCTGGCACCCAAAGTGCACATTCCTCCTCTGCAGTCGCCCCGACTATCCCACCATTTCACTGAGAGTACAAAACTCCTCGCCTCCTCTGGGTTCCTAATCTTGAACGCTGACCAAAGGCACCTCAGTGAGGGCTGCCCACACCCACCAGGTGTGTCTGTCTGAACCTGCTTTTGCCTCAGCACCTGCATTATTAGCCCCGTGGAGGTGATCTCCCTGCACTGGCCTCTGCAGGAACAAGGCATCACCACTCCGCCCTCTCACTGTCATCTCAGAGACGCTCACCCTCAGCACCCAGAACACCCAGACACTCTCCAAAGGACATGAGCATGCCGGAGGGGACCTGCGCACATACTGTGGGGGACATAGGCATGCTGGGGTGATGGAAGTGTGGCGGAGGGGCGGGAGGAACTTGCATGCACCTTGGTCTGGGACTGTTGCAGGCAAGCGAGCGTGACATAGTGCTGAGGGGCATTCGCACGCCAATGGGGGAGGAGAGGATGTGCACACCAGAGGCCTGTGGCTTCGCAGATCGACAAAACCCCGTGGTGTGGCCAGGAGGACGTCAATCTGGCCCACCATGGTGGCTGTCCTTGTGATCTCACATCTCCTGGGTCTGGAGGCGGGACTTGCACAGCCACTCCTTAGCACTGATGGCCTTCAGGCACTACTTCACCAAGGCTCATCTTGGTGTGCTCACGGCTGCCACCGCTGCCATGTGGGGAGTACAGGCTGTCCTCCACTGTCCACAAGCACTGCTCTCCTGCCTGGAGCAACACAGGTGCAATGGAAGCCTGGTGTCCCACCCTGCCACTGCCACTCCTTGCCTCCATGTCCTGCAGACCGGCACGGTGTGACCGGGGTGGGGCGGGGTGGGATGCCTGCCCCTGGCCGCTTGGCGCCTGTGCACATGCACCCTGCCTACAGGCCCGCCATCTTTGTTGGATTAATTTGCATACTCATCCTGATTGGCTGGTGAGGGTAGCAGTGGGGACGGTCAATTTACATGCTTCTCTTTCATTAGTGTAGATATTTCTAAGGATATAGCAAGATCAAAGAGAGAATCTAAGAAAAGCCTCCAGGTTTGAAGCACTTACTATGCTAACTCTGTCATTTTCCTAATTGTCATTATTTTTCTTTGGTTGTGCTAAACCTGCAGAATTGCAAATATGATGACTTCAGCCTTGCATCTTTGTTATAAAACTACACATAAGGAGCCTTTGATCACTGATACATCATTTCATAAGGCCTTTGGTTATTGAAGTCATAGTATCTCACAGTTAATATCTAAGGAATTGATGAATCACAACCTGCCTCTAAATTACAGAAGAGAACGGGTTGTCTGATGTGGGCACAAAGACACAAATTTAGGTCAAAGGAGACAAGTAGCAATCACTTCAGAAATAGTGTACTAGGACAGAGTCTGATAAGTGGTGTGTTATATTTGTGCCCTTTAGATGCCTCAGGCTTCAGATCAAGTCTCTTTCTGAAAACACAGAGTCCAGATGGTGGAGGAGGGATGCAGCAGGAGAGAATCAGTCTGTGACACTGCAAGTTGTCCATCTGGTATAGAGCTCTCATGGCCACCACTTGTCAGGTGGCTTATTAGTTAGTATGTGGTCGAGTGATTTGGACCTTCATCCAGGATGGGTCTGAGTCCCTGCTTTCTATGCTTCTATCTAACAGGGGTGATGCATTTGCCAATGTAATGATGTTTACTTTGAATTTATATTAGTTCACACAAACACTCCATCCATGCTTTTGTTCCGGCCCTCTGGTCCAGTTTAAGACCCATTGTGGCCCTCAAGTCAAAAAGTTTGCCCACCCCTGAGTTAGTATGTGGTCGAGTGATTTGGACCTTCATCCAGGATGGATCTGAGTCCCTGCTTCCTATGCTCCTATCTAACAGGGGTGATGCATTTGCCGTTGTCATCAGGATCTCCTAAAATTGAGGTTGATGACCATTGGCTAAGAGGGTTATTTCTTGCTGATGCATGGGCCACTGTTGAAACCAGACTCTCTTCCTAGGAGGGGAGAAATTCTGTCTCAGTTTCAGCAGCCAGCTGACCAGAGCCTGTTAATTGTGGACCCGGTAAGATCTTCCCTCATTCCCCCCCACTTTTCAATATTGGTTCATGTCCTCACTTATCTGTTTTACATTTGTTAAGGACCTTTGGTTCCCCTCGGGCTGTTTAATTTCTACTACCATAACTTTGAGTGTGTGCAGTTTTGTCTTTGGTTATCATGCTCTCTCCAAAATGGTGAAAGAAGATTTTAACCCAAGGGTGGGTGAGTTGCCCATCTAAAATATTTCTAAATAGCATTGACAATTCAGGTTGTAGGCTATCACTTCTTTTTTAAATATTTTTATTGATTTTAGAGAGGACGGGAGAGCAAGAGAGAGATAGAAACATCAATGGTGAGAGGGAATCATTGATCAGCTGCCTCCTGCACGCCCTTTACTGGGGATTGAGCCCACAACCTGGGCATGTGCCCTTGGCCGGAATTGAACCTGGGACCCCTCAGTCCACAGGCCGACACTCTATCAACTGAGCCAAACCAGCTAGGGCTAGGCTATCACTTTTTAAGGTTGGTTGTGTCGTGCTAAGGCCAACCATGTGTATTCCTTAAAAGTGGTTTCTATACCGATACAGCTCCTAGGGCAGTGATGGCGAACCTTTTGAGCTCGGCATGTCAGCATTTTGAAAAACCCTAACTTAACTCTGGTGCCGTGTCACATATAGAAATTTTTTGATATTTGCAACCATAGTAAAACAAAGATTTTTATTTTTGATATTTATTTTATATATTTAAATGCCATTTAACAAAGAAAAATCAACCAAAAAATGAGTTCCCGTGTCACCTCTGACACACTTGTCATAGGTTCGCCATCACTGTCCTAGGGCATTGGAAATTAAAGAGAAAATAAATAAATGGGACTACATCAAAATAAAAAGCTTCTGCATCGCTAAAGGAACCATCAACAAAGCAACAAGAAAGCCCACTGCATGAGAGAACATATTTGCCAATGTTATCACTGATAAGGGTGTAATCTCCGACATTTATAGGAAGCTCATACAACTTAACAAAAGGAAGATAAACAATCCAATCAAAAAATGGGCAAAGGATCTAAATCAGTGGTTCTCAACCTGTGGGTTTTGACCCCTTTGGAGGTCGAATGACCTTTCACAGGGGTCGCCTAA